GAAACAAAAATGTGGAAATTAATATAGCAGCTGATACAATGTTAAAGAAAGTAACGGACTTCAAGTGACTCAAACACCTATTCAAACGGTTCAACAAGGACAACTCCAACCTCAACCAACCCAACAGAGTCAACAACAATCACCATCACATGGACCTTTACAATTGGCTCAGCCCTTGCAATCTCAACAATTACATCAACAACAGCAACAACAAAAGCAAATGCTTTCAGTTAGTGGTAAAAAAAAGTGTTCAAACTGCGGCGATGAGTTAGGTGAGTTGAAATTTTCCTTTCATTTCAACTGAACAGCAAAAAAGACTAAACGGTTTACTGATGAATCTGTCTCTTCATTTTTTTCTCACCTTTTCCTTATTCTTATACAAGGTCGTGGATGTGCTGCAATGGTTATTGAAACATTAGCCCTTTATTACCACATAAATTGTTTCCGCTGTTCAGTGTGTCACATTCAATTAGGTATGTACATGAGTTTTCCGTTTCTTTACCTTTCTTCTATTGGAACTTGATTTTCATGGAGAATAATAGAAATGCTGATAAATGCTAGAGTTGATGATGAAGAGGCACAAAAATGTTCATAGTTAAGGGTGTTTATTGACTATTTCAATGGTTATTACTTCCTACCTTTTCTCTCTCTCTCTTTTCCTTACCTATGCCATCTGACAATTTAAACACAATTAAACAGCAGTCAAACATCGTGATTGAATGAGTGGAAAAATTAGATGAAACAATTTGTTTGAAAAATGTACGAGTTGAATGGCCGAGTGAATTGTCTTTTAAATCAAATTGAGATGAAAGGAGTAAAAATCTGCTTTACTCATTGCTTTCCTTTTTGTTTACCTGTAAATCTGTTGATAATATTTTTTTTCTTGCTCAACAATTTACTTGAAAGCCAACAAAATGTTAATTTTGATTGTTAATTGTGTTGATATATTTAAATGTTTAACTCATCATTCATTCATTTGTTATTATCTTTACCTATCCTTGATGGGTTAACATTTTTAAACGTTTATTTATCTAAATTTGAAACATTTGACACAAGTTTATCTCAACAACAACTCATTATTGGTCAACAATAACAATGATTCAGAATAAAAAAGGTTTAATTTGACAGTTTCATCCTGTTATCCTTAACGTGTCGACCTATTCTTGCTGCACAATGATTTTAGTTAATTATGACAATGATTAAGATGAGGATGAAAATGATGATTACACTGATAATAATGTTGAATTATGCAGTTTAAAACAGTTATATTTAGCAGTTGTTTTGATAACGTTGGTGTTACTTTCCTTGATTAATAAGGATGGTCAAGTTTTCCTTCTTTTCACTGACCAAGTTACCTGTTGAAATGTAAGATAAGGTTAAAAATGAGAGAAAGACATCATAATTAGAAGCATTGGGTGGAATTCAGTTCAGATTTGTAGAACGATAATTCATCAGATTCATTCCATTATCATATGGGTTATTTATCCTCTTCATCAGGTGAAGAACAAAAAAGTTTACCAAAAAAAAGGGAAATCTCTTAACCCTTTTTTTTCATCTTTTGTTGAGGCTACCTGATGACCTCCTCAAGCAACTTTATCAACTCATGATTACCATCACTGAAATTGCCAAGATAATTTCATGCTAACAACCGATTCAGTTGATCCTTACACTTGCCCTTGCCTTTTGTTTTCATGTAATACTTGATTTACATGTTCAATTGATGGTTTAACTTTCAATGGTTAAACTCTGACAATATCATTAAACTGTAATTAGACAGCAATTGAACCTCTGATTCGCTACCTGAGGCACATCTCATTATACCTGGCAGTTACATCCAAGTGACCCAATTAAAGAGTGACCGGTAAAATTTAATGTTGAAAGTAAATTATTTTCGCGAAAAGGCCAAGAGTAGTTGAATCAAATTGAATGAAGATGATGAAAACGAGAAACTATTTTCTCATCATTTTAATTCATTTTTTTCTTCTCTCTTCTCTGCTTTGAAGCCGGTTTAATTCATCATCTACTCTTTCAAGCAAACATTATCAATTTAAAATCATATCGTACTCTGATCCATCTTAACCTACTAAAGGCCTTCTCAAATTTTTGTAGATATTTATTTCCAGTTTCCAGTCAATTGCAATCATTATTTTACCTTTAATCTTTACCTTTCTCCCACCTTTATCTCATCATGAAAGTTTCCTCTTTTTTCTGATCTTATTGTTTGTGATGTTTCTTTTACTATTACTTTGATTATTGATATCCGATGGATGAGTTGTTGTATGAAAAGCGGAAGCTTCTTTAGGTACCTCAAAAATATGGCAAACGGTAGCATCACAGTAGTTTCAAGAAAATAATCAAAACCTGGATTATGATTATTAAACTTTTATCATTATTATTGCCATCATCAATCATGAAATCTGAAGTAAGCGAAGATAACCTTGAAATTGGCTTCCCATGGTAAAACTTGTTCATCTGACAGGTTAGAGTTGAATTCAAGTTACATCTCTGATCATCAATCTTTTTCATTTTACCAACTCTCAACTAGTTTATGCAAGTTATCATTTTAAAATTTGTCCAATTTAAATAACTTTCTGACATTGTTTTAAGACTTGTAGGTTTATTCAATATTTCACTACTTTTTTCAGCTCATTGTTGAATCTTTCAACATTTATCAACTGATTTACACAGCTTGGTGAAAAATTGGTGTAAAGGGCGATTCAAGGTTCAGTAGCTAAAGTTTATTTTATTGTTTTTGTTGCTCTCTTTGCTTACCCTTTATGCTCAATAAAACATCATATATTCACTGTATGTCAATACCGTTATAAGTTATTGGTCTGAAAGGCCTCAATATCAACAAACCTTGACCATCACCCGAATTCAATAGCAAAAGCTTACATTTTTCTCGCCATTTTTTCGCTTCTATTTTTCTTTCTTAAATCATCTTAATTTAATCATCTTTTCTGTTCAATTTTCCAATTTTGACCTGACTTCATTGAAAATACTTGAAATTACTGAAATAACAGATTATCCTCATGATGAGACATCAACAATAGTGATTTCAGTAATTTCTGGTTTACCAAAATAAGTTCAATAATAACATCAACTGCAGCAAACATTATTCACTTTTTCAATTCACTCGAAACTTTTTCCATCTTGAGATTGATTATTTTTTTGGTGTAAATTGCTTAAAAATGCGCCTTGATTACAATCAAACTTGAAAAAATATTAAATATGTATCAGTGCTGTTCATCAATTGTACTTTGAGGCTCATAATAGCTGACATTGTAACTAGATAATCAAATATTTTTGTATTATCCTTTTCTTCAAATTCATTTGAATTGTCATTGAACTGCACATTGTTTAATTGGTTTTATTTTTATCTTAAAGTCACTCGTACATTGAAAATAATTAATGCATTTGATTGCTATTAACCTTGTCAGGAAAAGATGGTTAGCTTGATATTTGGAAAAGATATGCAAAAATACTCTAATGTTTTTAGCATTTCTTTTCAGTCTTTTACAGAATTTTATTGTTGGCAATTTTTTGGCTTCTCCATATTGAACTGTTTGTTGTTGAGCAAAAAATAGGCTGAAAAAAGCTTATGCAAGTTGATTGTATCCTAAAGCATGATCATGATGAGAAAGGCAATTCTAGACAAATTGCAGGAAGAGGAACGAAAGATGAACAAAAAAAAACAAAGCAAAATTCACCAACTGCTATTTGATGGTTTCAGTTTTTTTTGCTTGTCAAGCTTTTCACGGTCAGCCTAGAAATGATTTAACTTTACTGCTCTCATTGTTGATTGTGACGCTGATTGTGATGGTTCACCTAAACTTTTGAAAAATGCAGTTAACACAAAATTTATCCTGAATCTTTACTTTTCCTTTCAACTTTCAATCTAAACTTATTAGTTGCCAAAATAAGCTGAAACCCAGAGATGGATAAAGAAGGAAGAGAGCGTGAAATAAAGATTATCATGAAAAAGATAAAAATTGCCAGGATAAGTTGCTCGTCTGCTAATGAACTTTTACTGTTTTCTTTTATTTCAAACTCAATTCTCTTTTTCTCATTAGTCCTTCAAGATGAAGTTCATGAAAAATGGTTATCTTAAAAAATATCATTCTATGGTTAAATTTAGTTTTCAATGGCTAATAATTCACTTTCACCAACTCTTTAACCAACCTTACATCCTTTGCGTCAATGAACATCTTTTTATCAATCTTTTTTTACAATTCAAACATAATTATAACCTTCAACCATTCACAGTAATAGTAAACTCATTTACATTTGTATTATTGGCGATTAATGATGAATATCTTGAGCACAGTTATGAAAAGGGTCGCTACCATGAGAGATTGAATCTCATTTTTAACCAAATTATCTGATCATTTCAATGTTATCAATGAGCTGATAA